GTACTTTGCATAACCTGAGTTGTTTACAGTAAAACATCACAGTTCAACCTGAAAGTTCTGTTGGCCTTATTAGAATATGATTAAAAAAATGTATAAAGTAACAATATAACTAGTTTAATTTCTAATCTGTCTGTCTGACTCTGTGTTGCGTAAGCTCTCATACAGAAACAAAAAAAAACTTTTTAGTCAGAAAAAACAGCGAAAAAGTTCCGTTTCCCCTTCAAAACTTCGACATTGAAGTTGGTAAGGGAAGTGTTCAAACCTTATTTTCTCCTAGCACTTTATTGTAAGGTAATGGACCAGACCAGGCAGGAGTGTGTGTGTGAGTGCGGTTCAATGAAGTGTGTGATAGCATGTTCAGAGCCTGTCTATGCCAATGTGTGTGTCCAGGAATAGAAACAATCAGATTATGAAGGCAGACAGTAGTAATCATTAACTTCTTCAGGCTACTAGCTGTCTCCAGTCTGGCGCACCATGCCCCCACTCTGCTAAACTCCCCCCAGTAGAAGAGTCTGCAACTAGAGCCAGAATAACAGCTATCATGGATGGTTGTGGGGTCGTCACAACAGAACATCTAATTGGTGTAATACTATTTTTCACAGTGAGTCAGTAAAAATTCCTTCATATTCCTCTGATATTCTGCTACCTCCTTAACATTCAGTTTAAACTTTGTTTTTATTTTAAAAAAAATACCAAAATCACACACATGAGTGGCAATATTGTGTGTCTCCATCCCAGTATTATTAAAATATACAGAATTTAATTTGTGTGGTCCTGAGTATTATCATGTCATATCTCGAACGTTGGTTTTTGACCAAGTGAGAAAGTCCTTGTTACTTCAGCTCACGTTTCGTGAATGTAAAGAGGAATTGATGGGCTTTACAAAGATCTGTTTGAAGTAGAATAAGGGAAGATGGTATTGATTTGCTGTGAGGACACAATTGGTGTAAACTGTGTGAGACTGGAAGGCAGAGGCCTGCCCCACCCTTGCCTGAAGCTTCACTACTGGGGTAACGATGTGGAATGAGGTCTGTAGCCAGAATGCAGCACTGTAATTCGCATGGACAATGAGGCCTAATGACTGGGGCCAAACTAAAACAAGATCACTACCCATCTCCAGAGATCAAAAAGTCTCATCACATGTAACGTACAGGGGACAGAGAGACACACACAACCAAGACTGAAAAAAACAGCTCCCCACAGGCTTCATGCATATTCTAAGCACTAAGCGACAACATAATCTTAGAGAGAGACAGACACACGGCAGAAATCAGAAATGTATTCTTGACATTTTTACTGACAGATGTCCTAGATGTGTGTATAAACCAAGACATGGACAAAGCACATGTGCGAGTTGTGTGGGAAGTCTGTCAGTTGCAGACATGCTGATACAACATGCACTAGGCAGGCATAGACAATGCATACATTAGCTTAAGTAAAGAAATATGAGCAGTTTTGTTGAGCAAAACAAGGGCATTCAGATGTTCACCAGCATCCTGAGGCACAGGAACATGTACTGTGTTTTGGCTTTGTTGGGACTGAGAACCAATCTCAAAAGAGAATATGCTTCTTTCTACTGAACATATATTCTGAGTGTGTTTCCAGTAATGCACATGTGGACTCTTAATTCCACCTAAAGCCTGATACTGTATCGTGCTGTGATAACTGATATTTAGTATATATCATGACCAGGTGTTTCAGTTTACAGTGCCAATTTCAAGATTTTTATTGGTCTAGCAGATCTGGGAGCAGTATAGTGAAGTGGATAAGTCTGGCCTTTTTATAGACAGGTTGTGGATTCAAGTCCTCACTGCAGACACTGCTGTTGTACCTTGAGTGAGGTACTTTACCCCAGTTGCTCCAGTTGCTTGCTCCACCCAGCTGTATAAGTGGGGACCAGGACTGCTAGGGGTAATATTGTGATGGACTAGCATCCCATCTAGGCAGAGAGTCATATGCTCTCTAGTCTGTTAAACACTACAGAAACCAAGATAAATCTCTGGTCTGATGAGTTGCTGTGGAAATTACCTACCAGTTGTGAGAGAAGACTGTAAATTGTCTTCCAGTTAAACCTGGTGAGTTGGAGGTGTTGAATAAGCACATGATAATCATATACTTTGGATTGCTATTTTTAGGAGGTAAAGCATACATGAAAAAGTTTGAAAGAAGAAAAAGGTACCTTTCTTGCATTGCTTTAAAACCTTGTAGCTTAGCTCGGAGCCTAGCGATTTCTAGAATCTCATTTTAATCTTCACATTTTCTCTCTCTTCTTGTCAAGAATAATCTAATACTGTTACTCTGGAATGTGTTCTGGTGTTTCTGTCAAAGTTGCCTGCAGTGAACTCCTCCAAGCTTTCAGCCAGCCAAGTTGCATAGTCGTGGTTTTGAGATGAGACAAAACCACCAACAGCAAATGCTTGGGAGCGGTGTAAGTTTCTGCACTCTGCAATTGAAGTCTCTCCCTCAATCCACGCCAGCCTACCTAATTGTCATGTGAGGGTTCGAAATTGGCAGTGGTCTGACATCCCGGCCTTGGGATGGAGACCAGTCTGAGTGGGGGGTGATTATTAAACCACCAGGTACAGTGAGAGAGAGTCGAGCAATCAGACCTCTGCTCTTAAACAGGCACCGAACTGGCTGACTAATTCTTTCCTCCCTTCAGCTGCCTTGACAAGTCCCTGCAGGTAACCAATTAATGACCCACAGGCTTGGCGACACCTATTACTGTGCAAATAACACCCTGCAGTTCAAGAATCACTGGTGACCTCCAACATAAGACTTGATTAGGCTCCCGAAACAATAATCTTCTTGTAGCCAGATGAGCAAAATGGCAGAAACGGCTTGTTGTTCTTGGTAACCTCCATGTTCTTCTGTTCTCAGCCATGACAGCTAAGCAACATTTGTTCTGAAACTCAAGAAAATGAGGTGTGAGATAATTCCAAAACACACACACACATAGTGAGTGATAATGTGTGGGCTGCTGTATCCTAGTAGATTGTGATGACATGAAAGGAAAGGCTTCTTCAGTTACATTATGGAAAGAAGGTTTTGTTTTTAAAAAATATCATTCTCGTCACCATAAATGAACACTGGCTCATTTCCTAATAACAGGCTGCTTTTGCTTTAAGAGTTTTTTTTTCAGAGGTACTGCACAATTAACATAACTGAACAGTTCCCTCTGCCGATGTCTGCTTGAAAATTACTGGGTATGCTTGGTGTCCCATAAAGATGAAAGAGAAAATGACGGGAAAGGGAAAAAAAAGCTACAATGCCGGTCTAAGGGATTTTGTTTGGAAAAAAACTTTTTTGGGGGGGCAACAGTGTGAAATGTTGAAGAAAATCAAACCAGGACTGAGTGAAAACTGCTTTTCTCTTTATGTGAAAAGTCTTCTTCACAGCAGTTCTCTGCTTGTCATTGTTATTCGATGCATCAAAGGACAAAAGATTTAGGAGGTGGGGTAAACTGAAGAATTGAGATATAAATATAATCGAGTCCAGAGGTCTGTAGTCCCCTTCTCCCTTCCCACCAGTGTTCTGTGCAGTTCAGTGTCCGAGTTCTTCTAATCCTCAAGGCAGCTTTAAGTGAAGGCAGGTCTAAAGTGAAACTGTAGATATTCATACTGCACTGTACATGCAGTTATGCACAGAGAAAAAAGTTGTGCGAGTATATCATCATTTTGTACTTTATTTTTCACCTATCCTTTTTTGAGGGGGAGGGGTCTTTGGTCCAGAAAAGAGCTCAATCAACAAAACCTTTTGAGGCAAGCCAGCCAGCTATGAGTTCACTGTGGGTACATGCTGCCACTTTACAGAGCCATTATTCTCAGGAATGTGGCTTTTTCTTTCCTGTCATTAGCCAGTGGTGTTTGAGTTGGGGCCTTTTATTGGATTTTGGGATATAGAAAATCAAGGATGTCATGACTAATGCTGTCCGTATTTGTTGAAGCATTTTGGGTTTTTTTTGCAGAGAAATAAACTTTGAAAATTTTGTTAGAAAGGGGAGGCAATAAGACTTTCACAGTATACAAATTCCCATGTTTCCCCCTCAAAAATAATTAGACTGTTACAGACAATAGCTTCCTATTGTTAGATGAGGCAACCTATTATAAAACAATGATTGGGACAGATTTATAGCACACTTTGCGTCAGAACTTCAACTGGCCTGCAACAAAAATAAGAAACTCAGACAGCAGATAAGTACTAATGCTTATGTAAACAATGCTGTGTGGCTGTTTGATTTCCAGGGAGTTGGACTGCTTTCCGTGTTAGAATTCCAGGAATTCTTCTATATTTTTTTCAACATTAGGGATGCAAACGTTTATCCATGTATGCGAAGGTCTTCGTTTGCCTGGATTTTGATGTGCACAGTGCCAAAACTAGCTTTTATCGAATATAGAGAAAATTTTGGTGTAAAATGTGTAATAAAATGTAGATCTGTTGTGAATAATTCTCAGTTAGCGCAGAAAAAAAAGCTTCTCATAACTTTCTAGGTTTTTAATACTCTAATATCTAATATTTGTTTGTGTCTACATCAAAAGTCAATTTCAGAAACTATCACTGACACGCCTGTATCATTGAATCAGACATACCATTTTGTGCTATTACAAAATCATGCATGTGTCCATGTGAAAGCTTGGCATAATTAAATAGGCATTTGCTTCTGGACTATATACGTTTTCAGTCTGGAGCATTGTGGTACTTTCTGCATATTATACTTCAAGGCATTTCTCTTTGTGCCTTGAATAGCTGCAGTACACTTCCACATTGTGGGGATGAGATTAGCAAGTAGAGGCGCCGTTCATTCCTGGCATGGAATACATATTCCGGGGTTCCAGGAAGTGAATGTAATGGAATATTTTCAAAGCATTTGTTCTTTTACTATTTCACCACGGACCAACTTCCACATGTACAAAATCTGAATTAAGTGTTCCTTCACATTTGTTCGCTGGTCCAGTTTGGCAGTATCATTAACCAGCTCTCTAATTTCTTTGTCCCTCCAGATTCCCAGGCTCTGCAGGGGCAGGGGGATCGTGCGCACTGGTGCGTCGTGGCGTACTGGGAGGAGAAGACCCGCGTGGGCCGCCTCTACTCGGTCCAGGAGCCTTCCCTGGATATCTTCTACGACCTACCTCAGGGGAACGGCTTCTGCCTCGGTCAGCTCAACTCGGACAACAAGAGCCAGCTGGTGCAGAAAGTGCGCAGCAAGATCGGCTACGGGATTCAGCTGACGAAAGAGATGGACGGGGTGTGGGTGTACAACCGCAGCTGCTATCCCATCTTCATCAAGTCTGCCACACTGGACAATCCAGACTCTCGGACGTTGCTGGTTCACAAAGTATTCCCCGGTTTCTCCATCAAGGCCTTTGACTACGAGAAGGCCTATAGCTTGCAAAGGCCCAACGACCACGAATTCACACAACAGCCATGGACCGGCTTTACTGTACAGATCAGCTTTGTGAAGGGCTGGGGCCAGTGCTACACCAGACAGTTCATCAGTAGCTGCCCTTGCTGGCTGGAAGTTATTTTCAATAACCGATAGCAGCAGATTTCCTACTCCGCGGAACAGGACTAAACCCCCCCCTTTGTTCGGGGTGTAAAAAGAAGAAGAAAAAAAAGAAAAAACTGAGGACTTGTTTAATAAATGAGTAAGATTTAATTAAAAAAAAACGAAAGTGTATTTTATGTTATATATAAATATATTATTACTTGTAAATATGAAGACGTTTTATAAGCATCATTATTTATGTATTGTGCAATGTGTTAACAAGAAAAAGAAAATAAGATGCACTTTGCTTAATATAAATGCAAAACAAAGAAATGCCAAAATTAAAAAAAATAATAATAATAATGAAACACAAGATTGGTGTTTTTTTTCTATGGGTGATGTCACCCAGTTGAATGTTTTTTAAAAGGAGTTAATGTTCTATTAAAAATAAAACTACACCTTTAAATTTATCTCCTGTTTAGTTTTCTTTGTTAATGAGTAGTGGTGTAATTTCCACTCGTCTATTCTTTAAGCATTGTACACTATAGCCTTTTAATTTGATTCTTATTGACAACACACTACAAGCTAAAAAGACCAGCCTTTTAGCTTTAGACTGGTGAGGGAGGAGTCGAGCACTCTCAGTCTGTTTAATGTTACAGAAACAGGGATTTACTCCTCCCTTATCAGCATCTAGAACTGAGTTTAGATGTTAGTCCAAACATTTACTTTTCAGACTGAAAAGTACCAGAGGTTATCAGCCTAAAATGTTATTTTTTATATTTTTGAGACATTTTGTAGTTAATAACATATAAGTAGCATACTTTCTGCTATCCATGTGTTTCAGCACTATAGTTGTTTCTATGGAGATAACTTTCATTCTATATGAACACACTAGTATTTTACGGTTCTACGGGTAGACATTTTAGCAAGTTCATTTTTCAGTGTGAATAAGGGAATACCAATCCTGGTCCCTGGGAACCACACACCAGCTGGTTCTTGTTCCAGTTAAATAATTGAGGCCTTAATAGAGCTAATGTGAACTCTCTAATTGTGTTCAGTTTTTCAACCTGTTGGAGATTGTCTTTTAACTACCGTTGTTCATAAGTAACTTAAGAACGCCAGTCTCTAAGTAGAAAGCTGGAGCAGTGGTTAGCTTTGCTGTCTCCTTGCTGGGGTCCTGGGTTAAATTCCTGGGTTGCTTTCTGCGTGGAGTTCATATCTTCTTCACGTGTTCATGTGGCTTTCTCTGGTCCCCAGCACAGTCCAAAGACATACTGGTAGGTTAATTGGATTCTGGGAAAGCGGGCCCTGGTGTGTCTGTGTGTCTTTGTGTATCCTGCCTTGTGTCCATTGCTTACTGGGATAGATTTGACTCTGTAATGTATGAAGCAATTAGAAAGAGGATGTATCTCTGTATAGAATGGTGAAACTTTTTGCATTGGTACCACAGCCATAAGAAAGGTTGCAGATAACAGGAGGTTTTGTTTGGGCTTTTGTTTGGCAATCACACAATTAAATAGGAGACTGCAAGAAATTGTCCTGTACAAGGTTTACACTTTTCATTACTGTCCCAGGGCTCCCATCAATGAAGATTACTCATCTTATTCATAAAGAAACCAACAACTTTATTGTAAAACTATACATGAATGAGTTACAAGAAATGTTACAAGGGTTGAAACAGAGAGAGGTAAATAGAATAATGATGAAATCATTAGTAACAGCCTCTGTCCGTCTAGGGGAAGAATACTCAATTTTCCAGGTAATTCTTTCTTATAAAGGGTATGAAAACTGGTTGAGGACAAAATGAGATGATTTAGATCCATTGCTCTGAAATGCAAATTCCTAAATGTAGCTACAAAAAACACTATGGTTATAATCCATCTTATCATTTGTCTCGAGATTTCAGGGTCTAAGGTGCTGATCAGTATCAAATGTCTGTATTGACCTAGATGACCTAATGACTTTAAATTACTCAATGCTATAGCAACAAGTTTTTTAAAAAACTCGTTAACTCAGCTATTTTACAAAGTTTTTACAAGACCCTCTATAAAGTAAGAGTTTGCAACCCACAGATTTCTGTGACTTTTATTTTCAGATAGTTTTGATTTTAAGTGTTGTATCGAACCTGTAAGATGTTTTTTTTTTTACAGGAAGAGAAAAACAAAATGTCTTATAATATTCATATTCCTTACTTGGCTACCTGTTGCTGGTTTAAAAGCACATTTTAAATACATACCTACTTGAAGCACAATATCCACTATACAGCATCTAATTCAACAGTGGATTTTTGTATCCATATTATTTCAAAACTGGAAAATTTAAAGAAACAATTCATTTGAATTATAGAAACCCCTTAGATTAAATTCATATGATAATTTGTACCTTCAGAGATGGTGTCCTCAATATATAATATTGAGGACATTTTATATAAAATAAAAGCTTATAGATGCATTCCTAAAGGCTGTTTTAATTATGTTAAATTGCTGTGATGGCTTTTGTTTAGAGACAGAAGCTTTCAAAGGGGGTGGCAGATAATCTGTTTAGGTTCTGGTTTTGCTTCTTTCTTTACTGCCATTTCTACTACTTATCCCCTGAATGAATTTAACTAACTTAGCTAGGTGACAGCATTTATTATACAGTATGTGCCATATTGCTTTTGATTAAAGTTTAAAAAGGAGACAACAGTGCTCTAATTATGTGTTCAGGTGATTGCAGAAGAAGGCACTGGAAATGACAAGTTTGGTCAAAAGCACCTAGCTGCCAACACCTCTAGTATTTTGCGCAGAGTATCCCGTTCCTTTTCAAACAACAATTATTTTGCTCCTTGTCTCTTATTTGCAATAACTATTTTGGGAATATTTTCTCCTTCCTCCCTCATTAACAGCCCCTGACATCACAGGAAGGAAGCCATAATAATGGCATTCAGGAGCCTATAAAATCAACAGGCCATTAAAACTTCAGAAGGTCCTGCAATGCACAGACCCTGACAGACTGACAATTGCGCAACAATAAGCAGATGGTGTCTCCAGTCTAGAGGAGTTGAGGAGGGAAGTGAGGGGTGGCGGTGGAGAAATTAAGCACTTCAAAACTAGAAAGAGGTTTGAGAGCCCACTGTACCTTGTGTTTGACTGTCAGCTGTAACTTGAAAGAGAACTGGATTGTTCAGGTAAATAAAGGAGGAAGAAAGTCTGAGCAGGTATTGTAATTGTTTTTCACAACAGGACATAGGGTTGCTGTGAAGTGAACTGGTACCCTTCATGTGAAGTAATGGAATTAATTGTTTCTTAGTGTACAGTTGCTTATCAATGACATAAAGTTTAATTGATTCATTCTAATGAGTAGTAAGAAAGAGATTCCAGATTTTACCTACAATGAAGTGTATTTTTTTTAATAAAAAGAAAAAACCTAAGTAGGACAATTTGTCTAATGGTGCTGACATGGCAGTGTGATTCCCCACTGGACATGTACAAGTATAGTAGCCACATGGCAAAGAGGACATTTCTTCTGTGGAATCAAAGAACAACAACATGGATAATTCCTGGGTTTAAAGAAAGGTTTGAAGTACATTCTCTGAATCCTTCAAGAAATAGCTGTACAAGATCTTTGGGCATATAAACAATTATCATCCAAATAAGAATGGAGGGTTGAATTGCTTTTTTTATTAAATGAGAATCACTAGATTAGATAGAATTTGGAAAAAGCCAATTATGTGTCTGTCATGCCATGGCTGTTAGCTATGATCTCCATGACCACAAACTGGAAAATTAGGAAATGTAGGTCAACTACTCTGACCTGCCCTTCTTTAAGACACTCATCTCTTAACACATCGTAGTTTTTTTTAAAAAGACTACACAAGGTAAAGGTGTAAATGTAAAATTTTCAGATTGAGAACCAGAGGTGGTGTTATTAATCACATTCTTAACAAGACCAAAGAGGACGGAGGACAGCAGCTGAAACAAATCAGTAACAGAGGCCTTTATTTTTGTTCACAAAAATATTTTAAAACACTGCTGTTTCCTCTTTAACCAACAATATTATTCTAAACATTTAATCGCAACATGAGGGTCATATGATCACAAAGGCTTTAAAAATGAATGGAAAATAAATTCACAGAGGGCTTCTTTGGTGGCTCAAACAGAAAAGGTGGCACACACAGGCTTAGATCTACGATCTAGACATCCTGGGTTAAGCCCTGGTCCTGTTACTAGCTGACTGGGACTGACATTCCCCTAGTACCCTAACAGCTAAATATTGCTGAGCATAGAGTTTGAGTAGAGTTAGCCAGAGCTCTGTGAACACACTTCCAACTCAGGTGAACATCACAAAAAATTAACATTCTACCTTTAAAACAAAAACATTTTTATATCAAATCCTCTGCTTTGTAAAGTTAAGTTACAGTATACAGAAAAAAGTGATATACAATGTTTAGGTGCTCATTAAAAAGATGGCCTGCACTGAAGTTTGGGAAATTTCTGTCCTTAATTTATTAAGGATGTGGAGTAAAATATATTGTTTTCTGGTGTTTTCTTCTATATTAGGATCTTAACTTTCTACACCAGCCTCATGGAAAAGATGACAGAAGTGATGAAGGTGATAGAAAATGTTTCTACAGAGTTCTGTGTGCCTTTGTACTTTGGAATTGTGTGAGAATATTGAGTTTGAGGGGAAATTGACTTTAAATTGTGTCATGAAAGAAATAACACATGATCAGAACAGTGCTGATATGCTCAAAGCTGAATTTACTAAATATCTTTCAAATACTAATGTAGACTGACTTCTAGGTCTAATGGATCCAGACAAATGTGAATTATGAATCTCATACAGACATGTGGTTCTAGATTTCTAAAAAAAAATCTTTCACTGTTTCTATTTACCATTCTGGCCATACAACCATTCTGAGACGAGGAACCTTCGAATAATTATTTTCATAATGTTCATGAATAGACACAACTATATCCAGTCATGGGACATCTCTTTTTGAGTTTAAAACTAAAGAACCTTATGAGAGACCCTTTATCTTTCCTTGTCTGGCAAAAAGTGCCTTTAGGCATCTCTCTTCCAATTTCTTTCACATCCTTGGAAGTGCAAGTGGAACCACAGCAAAACAATTAACCTTCACTGGATACTCTGGAAATATCTGATATGAAAAATATTTTTGGCTGTGACAAATACAGTATAGCTATCATTTTTTCTTATTATCAATCTTTCTATTATGTGGGTAAAAAACATAAAGACATAATTATCTCACAACATCTTGATCACAACACAACAGTACATTCTATCCGAGCACAAC